AAACGGAAGACACACTCCACAAATCTTGCGGAAACGCGGGAGAAATCGTTCGTTTCACTGAGCAAATCGAAGAGAAATGGAAGGAAGAATGAAAACGGAGAGAATTGAGGAAAGAATATAAAAAAAAAGAATGAAAATGTGGAAAGGAAAATGGCGAAGAGAAACGAAGAAAGTAAAAAAAAGAAAATCGCGAAAAATGAGGAAAGCAAATAAGAATGAAAATAAGGAAAATAAAAAAGAGAAAAGAAACGAGTAAAGAAGAAAAAACGAATAGCAATGCAAAGAAAAACAAATAATAATAACATAAAAAAACACAGCAGACGAATGAATAAAGGACTGAAAAAGAAAGACAAAAATTCGCCCTACATAATGAAGGAACAAATATACGGTATTTCACGAATGTCTACGCTGTTACACATGATTTCCGAATAAAAAATAAAAAAAATAAAATGAAAAAGCTCTCCAATCACTCACGATTGGCATTACCGGAAGGTCAAACTTTCTTCTTTTCATTTCTTTTCATATTTTTTTCTTATTCTAAAATATATCAAAACGACTGACCACAGATATAGAAAGACCAAGAAAATATATATCTTTTTTAAAAATCGCTTCCTGTTGACAGTGTAAATTTACCAACAGAAAACGAGGAAGGGAAATTTCGAAGCATTTTGCTGCCCCGAACGAACCTGGCGAGCGAGGCGGAGGGAAAATCTCATTATCAACACCTGTTTACAGTGTGTGCTTGTAAACGTTTGTCTACATGTATGTAAACGCATATACATACATACATAGGCAACAAATACAGCAAATACGACAGATACACTCATAAAAAAACACATAAAAAGCTCAACCACACACGCATATACCATGTATCTTTATGTATATATCAAGAAAAATGTTCAAATGCATGTATATACAATTTCACTCTATTGATTTATCGAACCTATTTATAACACGTCCCTGACACACTCACGAAAGAGCCGGACTAATACACTTACTTTCTTCCTGTAAGCAGCTGGGAGTATGCAAATTAGGGGTGCTTCGTTTTAGTCAGTGAAGTGAGGTCAGGTAAGGTCAATAGCCTGGTTACTTTATACGATGAGGGAAGGATAAAAGAATGAGGAAGAGAGGGAGGGGAGGAGGGTGGGGAATGAGAGAGGGAAGGAAGGAGGGAGGGAGGGAGGGAGAGGTAGAGAGAGAGAGAGAGAGAGAGAGAGAGAGAGAGAGAGAGAGAGAGAGAGAGAGAGAGAGAGAGAGAGAATCACTCCAGAACTAGACAAAACAAAAATCCAAAAACAGTGACAGACAACCCTCTCTAGAACAACACCAAAAAACAACCAGGGAAAAAAACAAACAGAGAACAAAAGAGCATCGACTCAACCAAGATCCAAGGTTCGACAGCGAAGGTAAAAGGCATTCAGTTCCTTTTTCCCGCCTTCGAGTCTCGATGAAAGCTCCTCCTGTGACATTTTGACCAGCGCTCCGTCCGGCCATGACCACATTTTGACAATCGGTTCCATTAATTATTTTTTTTATTTTTCTTTTCTAATTATTTTCTTTTTTTCCATTTTTCCATTTTATTTTATTTTATCAGGGTAAGGGGGAGGGGGTGGAGGAGGGTTAGGGTTGTGAGTCAGAGTGTGTCAGTGTTATTTTGCGACAGAATTGCGTAGCGTTTCTTATTTATTTTTTGTTTCTCTCTCTCTCTTTTCGTATCATTCGGATTCTTGAGAGGAAGAAAAGTAAATATTAATGTCTTTTTCTCTTTTGTCTGTTTATTTTAATTTCATTTATATTTTTTTTCAATATCTTGATTTTATTTATTTTTATTCATCTTTTATCTCTTCCTTTTCTCGTTCATGTTCCTTTTCGTTTCTGCTAACTTTCCCATCCTCTCTCTCTCTCTCTGTCTCTCTCTCTTTCCTCTCTCTCTCTCTCTCTCTCCTTCCCCCGGCCTCCCTCTCTCCTTCTCTCTCCCTCTCCCTCCCCTGTTCTTTCCTCTCTTCCCCCTGTCTCTCTCCCTCTCCACTCATTTCATCTCTCTCTCTCTCTCTCTCTCTCTCTCTCTCTCTCTCTCTCTCTCTCTCTCTCTCTCTCTCTCTCTCTCTCTCTCTCTCTCTCTCTCTCTCTCTCTTCTCTCTCTCTCTCTCTCTCTCTCTCTCTTCCTCTCTCTCTCTCTCTCTCTCTCTCTCTCTCTCTCTCTCTCTCTCTCTCTCTCTCTCTCTCTCTCTCTCTCTCTCTCTCTCTCTCTCCTTCCCCCTTCCTCCCCCTCCCTCTCTCCCTCTCCCTTTCTCCTTCATTCCCCCCACCTTCCTTCTCTCTCCCTCTCCTTCCCTCTCTCTCCCTCTCCTTCCCTCTCTCTCCCTATCTCTCGCTTTCTCTCCAACCACAAAAAAATATGACCATATCTCCATATCACTGAAAGTCTGGTGTTATAATGATCTTAGTTCCGTGCTGTGCTTTCCAGGTTTATCTTACAGGCAGACTTTCTGAAGTTTTCTCTGCGTGTGTTTTCTTCGCTTTTTGTTGTTATTCTTGTCTTTATTGGCGTGTGTTTGTGTTTGTTTCATTTTTTTTCTTTTATATCTGTTATTAATTATTTTGTTTTAGTTTAATTTCTTGATTAATGTCATTCTGCTCGTTTTCTCTTCTCCTATCTTTATTCTCGTCCGTCGAATTCTACCTTTCTGTCTGTTCTTTGATACTTTTTTTCTTCTCTATAATTATTATTCATTCTTAACTATTTTATCATCACTAGTCACGTCTATCCTATTTTCCTCTTTCTTTTCTTTTCTCTCACTTCTCTTTTATTGCACTTTCTTTCTCTCCATATAAGGAAGTCTTTTAAGTTATCACCGCGTTTCTATAACCCACTTTCTTATTTTTTCTGTTTATTTGATTCCTGTTTCTCTTCATGTATTGTATCGTTTGTTTGTTTCACTTGTTTGTCTAGTTCATGTCTGTTTGTTTGTTCGTTGCTTTTGTATGTTTTCTTTGTTGATTTCCTTTTATCGACCTTTCCTTTTCTCTTCATTCTTCTCTATTCCTTTTACTCTCCCTTTCTCTCACTTCGCCATTGATTCCACCTCTCCCCCTATCTATCGTTCGTTCTTTTTTAAATTGTGTCATCCCCTCATTCTCTACCTACTCTTACTCTCTCTTTTATTACCCTATATCTTATTACTCTCTTCCCCCTCTCTCTCATTCCAGTTCTCTCCCTTTGTCTCTCTGTCTCTGCCTCTGTCTGTCTGTCTGTCTCTCTCTCTCTCTGTCTCTCTCTCTCTCTCTCTCTCTCTCTCATTCCATTCTCTCTCCTTCTCTCTCTCTCTCTGCTCTCTCTGTCTGTCTGTCTCTCTCTCGTCTCTCTCTCTCTCTCTCTCTCTCTCTCTCTCTCTCTCTCTCTCTCTCTTCTCTCTCTCTCTCTCTCTCTCTCTCTCTCTCTCTCTCTCTCTCTCTCTCTCTCTCTCTCTCTCTCTCTCTCTCTCTCTCTCTCACTCACTCTTTCTCACCTCCTTTTTCACTCTCACTCTCACTCACTCTTCCTTCATCCTCCCCTCTCTCCCCCCCCTCGATCCTCCCCACTCTCTCTCCCCCATTCTCCCCTCTCTCCCTCTCTCTCTCTCCTTCTCCTCCCCCCTCCCCCCCCCTCCATTTCTCCCCTATTTCCCGCAGTCGCACACCGGCGGGACTCGAGTGCAGGGCTAACTAGTGACCCATTTGTTTACGCGTGAAACTGCAGGCGTGTTCTCCAGTTCGTCCACGGTGCGTTTCCCGAGCAGCCTATTGCAGACACGCGTGCAGTGTGGGGGTTGGGGTGGGGGGAGAGGGTGTGGGGAGAGGGTGTAGGGGGGAGGGGGTGAAACAGGGATGATTGTTATAGGAGAGGATTTTTTTTTTTTTTTAGGAGAGTGGGTAGTGATTTTTTTTCGAAAGGGGAGAAGGGGGGGGGGGGGCTTAATGGTATAGTGTGGATGTGATTTGTGTCTGCTCTTTTGCTATCCTATTTGTATTTTGACTAGTAAATCATATTCTCTCTCTCTCTCTCTCTCTTTCTCTCTCTCTCTCTCTCTCTCTCTCTCTCTCTCTCTCTCTCTCTCTCTCTCTCTCTCTCTCTCTCTCTCTCTCTCTTTCTCTCTCTCCCAGCCAGTCTCTCTTAGCCCCCCCCCCTCTCTCTCTCTCTCTCTCTCTATCTATCTATCTATCTATCTATCTATCTATCTATCTATCTCTTCTCTCTCTCTCTCTCTCTCTCTCTCTCTCTCTCTCTCTCTCTCTCTCTCTCTCTCTCTCTCTCTCTCTCTCTCTCTCTCTATCTATCTATCTATCTCTTTTCTCTCTCTCTCTCGCTCTCTCTCTCTCTCTCTCTCTCTCTCTCTCTCTCTCTCTCTCTCTCTCTCTCTCTCTCTCTCTCTCTCTCTCTCTCTCTCTCTCTCTCTCTCTCTCTCTCTTTCTCTCCCCTAACAAAAAGGGCATCACAGTACTTTTTATCACGCGAACTGTATTAAACAAATTCCATACAAGAGCAAATTTCTTTTAGAATTTACGTGCAACATCACATTTTACAGCAAAGTATTACAAAGATAAATAGGACGATGGTGACAATAATGATATGATGGTAGCAATAATAACGATGATGATCATAATAGTAACGGGAATAAATGCAATGTGATAATAATGATTAACATATCATTATTGTCATTATTATAATCACCAACATTACTCCTACCTGCTAAAGACAATCGACAGATATATAATCTAATAAATGGATAATTAAATAAAGAACCAATAAACAAAAATAATAAGATAGACCCAATAAATACATAATTAAATACATGACCAAAAATAGATAATTAAATAGAGACACAATGAATACATAATTAAATAGAGACACAATGAATACATAATTAAATACATGACCAACAAGTACATCATTAAATAGCTAAAAACCGCACGACCAGGACTAGGAAATAGCCCCACAGGCTACTATTCAGGCTACTTACTCTCCTCACGACCTCCTCTTGAACTTGTACGTCGGCGGTCATCGTGTTCTTGAAAGTCAGCTGTGACGACTTACTTAAGGACAACTCGGTACTTCCACCACACTTGTAATTCCACTTATAAAGAGCCGCCGGAGAGGTGAACGTTCAGGGGGGGGGGGGAAACGTTACGAAGTTAAATCCCCTTAGAAAAAAAAAAAGTTGTTCCTTTCGAGTTTCGTTCGACAAAAAACAAAAAGGAAAAAAGGGGAGTCGGGGGGAAGACTAAGATATATGTGTTTCTTTTTTTTTTTTTAGACAAGAGTCCGTTGGGTGAAAAGAGGGGCCGGGGAGGGGGGAGGGGAGTTCGGCTAGCGGCTGAGGACCGGCGAAAAGTCCCGTTGTTGAGCGGTGTAATGAGCGCCGCCGAGCGACTGAGTTTAGCGAGCGAGCGAGAGAGACTAGCGCACCGTGCGTTGGCGAAGCGAGCTAGCAACTGAAGGGCCGTCGACGCTCACTCAGGCCCACAGAAACCACGCCGCCCCTCCCACAGGCTGGCTTTTGGGGGACCCTTCACACACCCCCTCCCCTACTACTCCCTTCCTCTACCTCCTCCCCCCTCTCTAACCTCTTCCTCCCCCTGTCTTCCTTCTCCCCTTCCTCTTCCCCTTCTCTCCTCTCCTCCTGCCTTCTCCCAACCCCACCCACGCTCTCCCTCCCCTTTCCCCTCCTTCCTCTCCCTTCCTCGTTCTCTTTCCCTTCCTCCCCCTCCCTCCCTTCCTCCCCTCCCTTCCTCCCGCCCCTCCCCCTCCCCTTCTGGCCCACCACTCGCCCCCCCCCTCGTTTCACATCAAATATTAACGCTCTATTTGATAGATTCTCCGCTCATAGAACTGTAAACCTAACTGTGTTTCTTAATCTTTCGCTCTCTCTCTTTCTCTCTCTTTCTCTTTACCCGTTATTGGCTTAACCTCCTCGGCGTGACTGGACGGGAGAGAAAATGCATCCGAAAGAGAAAGATGGAACGAAAGAGAGAGAGAGAGAGAGAGAGAGAGAGAGAGAGAGAGAGAGAGAGAGAGAGAGAGAGAGAGAGAGAGAGAATGAGTGTTTACAGTAGCAAAAGGATGGAGTGAAAAGAGAAAGAGAATGGGGAATAGAGCGAGTGATAGGCTGATAGATAGATAGATAGATAGATAGACAAATAGATAGAGACACACAGACAGACAGATAGACAGACAGACAGAAGGATAGGCAGACCAAATAGAAAGAGAGACGGAAACCTGGTTTAGACAAAAAGAGAGAGAGATGGAGTGACATAGAGAGAACAGAAAGAGAGAGAGAGAGAGAGAGAGAGAGAGAGAGAGAGAGAGAGAGAGAGAGAGAGAGAGAGAGAGAGAGAGAGAGAGAGAGAGAGAGAAAGAGAGAGAGAGAGTGAATGAAAGACATCGAAGGCATAGAGAGAGAGAGAGAGAGAGAGAGAGAGAGAGAGAGAGAGAGAGAGAGAGAGAGAGAGAGAGAGAGAGAGAGAGAGAGAGAATGAAAGACATCGAAGGCATAGAGAGAGAGAGAGAGAGAGAGAGAGAGAGAGAGAGAGAGAGAGAGAGAGAGAGAGAGGAGAGAGAGAGAGAGAGAGAGAGAGAGAGTATGAAAGACATCGAAGGCATACAGAGAGAGAGAGAGAGAGAGAGAGAGAGAGAGAGAGGAGAGAGAGAGAGAGAGAGAGAGAGAGAGAGAGAGAGAGAGAGAGAGAGAGAGAGAGAGTATGAAAGACATCGAAGGCATACAGAGAGAGAGAGAGAGAGAGAGAGAGAGAGAGTGAATGAAAGACATCGAAGGCATAGAGAGAGAGAGAGAGAGAGAGAGAGAGAGAGAGAGAGAGAGAGAGAGAGAGTGAATGAAAGACATCGAAGGCATAGAGAGAGAGAGAGAGAGAGAGAGAGAAGAGAGAGAGAGAGAGAGAGAGAGAGAGAGAGAGTGAATGAAAGACATCGAAGGCATAGAGAGAGAGAGAGAGAGAGAGAGAGAGAGAGAGAGAGAGAGAGAGAGAGAGAGAGAGGAGAGAGAGAGAGAGAGAAGAGAGAGAGAGAGAGAGAGAGAGAGAGAGAGAGAGAGAGAGAGAGAGAGAGAGAGAGAGAGAGAGAGAGAGTGAGAGAGAGAGAGAGAGAGAGAGAGAGAGAGAGAGAGAGAGAGAGAGAGAGAGAATGAAAGACATCGAGAGAGCATAGAAAGAGAGAGAGAGAGAGAGAGAGAGAGAGAGAGAGAGAGAGAGAGAGAGAGAGAGTGAGCGAGATAGAGAGAGAGAGAGAGAGAGAGAGAGAGAGAGAGAGAGAGAGAGAGAGAGAGAGAGAGAGAGAGAGAGAGAGAGAGAGAGAGAGAGAGAGAGAGAGAGAGAGGAAAGCATGACCCGCCTCGTTGAAGTCCTTCCGTGACGTCATCCGCTCCACTCTGCCGCATTCCTCATTTATTGTGCGTCTATTAACGTGCTCGCTCGCTGCTGCACACGCCATGCCCGTCTGCCCCACGCGAGTCGCAATGAAGCACCAGCCCACTGAAGCTTGCAGGCGACCACATGCTGTCCACGTGAAGCCTACCTGCTGCTTTTGCTTCGCCTGCAACTGCTGACGCTGTTTCTGCTGGGCTTGTTCCAGCCTACTGTTTTTGCTGTGTCTATTCCTTTCTGCTAATGCTGTTTTTTGCGTCGCCTGCTCCTGCTGATACTGTTTCTGCGTTGCCTTCTGCCTACTAGCTTAGTGTCGTCTGCTCTTGCCTACTGTTTCTGCGTCGCCTGCTCCTGCCGATGCCGTTTCTGCTGCGCCTGCTCTTACTGATGCTGTTGGGCCGCCGTTCCCTCGCCCCGTCCGAGGTTTCTCTGGCTCTCCATACCTGGCTGACCTACTCCTGCACCTGCCGGGTCCGCGAGCTTTCTTTCGGCTTTTTTTCCCTCGTGGGGTTCTGTCCCGGCGGGATACAGAAGGTGGGGGTCGTCGGGCGTACTGGCAAGAAGGTATTCGGGTTCTTTTTCTTCTATCTCTTTTTAGATAAAAATATCGAAGATGAACAGGTGTGCTGATAAGAAATAATTTGTGTTTCATTCTCTCTTCTCTGCTGCGTGTGGATACAGTTATCACAAACAATGAAGACTGCAAAAAATATATCTTTATCTCTGTCTGTCTGTCTCACCCCCCCCCTCTCTCTCTCTCTCTCTCTTTACACACACACACACACACACACACACACACACACACACACACACACACACACACACACACACACACATACACACACACACACATACACACACATACACACACACACACACACACACACACACACATACACACATACACACACACACACACACACACACACACACACACACACACACACACACACACACACACACATATATATATATATACATATATATAAATTTCGCCTGTCTATGAGACATTTGTGATCCTAACCCACGTATCGTATTAAGGCTAAGTGTCATTTGCAGTAGTTGGACGGCTGTTGTTTTCTTCAAGGTCCAAACACCATATGTAAGAGTTAACCCATTAACTGTATTGTGAAAGTACTGGAGCTAAATTTAGTATTAGGGACATATTGAACTGCAAGTGTCTTTATTCATATTTTTTTTTTCTTTTTTTCTTTTTTTTTTCTTTTTCTTTTTTCTTTCTTTTTAACTTTTCTTTTTTTTCTTTCTTACTTATTTTCTTCAGCATACCCATACATCTTCTAGATTTTAGAAAATCGTTTTATTTATATAGATATTTATCTATTTTTTTAACTTTTTTTTTATTATCATACACACGTATCCTTTTTTAGATTTCATTAAAATCGTTCTCATAAAAAACGCTTTTAACAACATTGAAAATACTGCCGATTAATTTGAATACATAACTGTCTTTTAGTCTCACCTTGCAGAAGTGTAAGTCAACAAATCTAATTGAAAATGTATATATATTCGTGTATTAAAAGTGCGCAGTGATAAGATGTATTAGCCTCATTTGTTAATGCTTTAAAAGTTAAAGATATTGGTGATAATGATGAGATAGTAGTAGTAGTAATGATGATGATGACAAAAAAAAATAATGTTAATAATAATGATAATAATAATAATAATAATATTAATAATAATAATAATAATAATAATAATGATAATAATAATAATAATAATAATAATAATAATAATAATAATAATAACAATAATAATGATGATAATGATAATCAGAAAAATAGTGATAATGATAATGATGATGATGATAATAACAATAACAATAATAATGATAATAATAATAGTAATAATAATAATAATAATAATAGTAGTAATGACAATAACAATAATAGTACTAATAATAACAACAGCAACAACAGTCATAACAGAGATGTTACTAGTACTACTATTACTGATACTTCTACCCCTACTACCACCACTACTATTATTACTCCTACTACAAATAATGTTACTACTAAAAATAATAATAACAAAGCAACACCAATGATGATGACGATAACAATAATAATAATAATGATAATAATAATAATGATAATAATAGTAATAATGATAATAATAATAATAATAATAATAATAATAATAATAATAATAATAATAATAGCAATAACAATAATAACAATAACAAAACAACAACGACAATGATATATAATGATAATAGCAATACTGATAATAATCATTACTACTACTGCTACTACTAATTATAATAATACCAGCAACATAAAAAAACAACAATAACACCAACACTAACATAAAAAAAAACAGAGGCAATAATAATAACAGCACTATTAACAATACCAGTAACTAAGACATCAACAGTAACAACACAGTTAAAGATCATCTGTAGCACAGTTAACAGACAGACACAAACCCAAACAAGCGGCCAAGCACCTGTTGTAATCTGATTTAAAAGCCATGTGTGGAGAAGATCGTTACATTCTATTTACTGCAGGAACACTCAGTGAACGATTAACAACTGTGCAACTGATGCTGTGAGCTCAAAGTGGCTTTTCGGGGATTTGGGTGATCAGTACATCGAGCTGCTGATATTCGGGTGATGTATGTGTTTGTTTGTGTTTGTTTGTATGTGTTTGTTTAATTGTTTGCGTGTGTGTGTATATACATAAGTAGATACTCACACACACACATATGGATATATATATATATACGTATATATATATATATATATATATATATATATATATATATATACGAATATATATATGCACTGTACTGTGTATATATGTATGTATATATATGCACTGTATGTATATATATGCAGTATATATATATATATATATATATATATATATATATATATATATATATATATACATATGTATGTATATATATATATATATATATATATATATATATATATATATATATATATATACATATGTATGTGTATATATATATATATATATATATATATATATATTTATATATATATATATATATATATATA